CAATATATACAACTTAAATAACTTTTATAGTATATTATTAATTTTAAATTATATATTTAATAATTCAATATCTATGTAAATATTACATATATTATTTTGTGATATTAATTGCAAGCATATTATATATGTACATATTATTTATATTTTTAATTTGTATTAATATACCGTTTAACATGTAATTTTTTTATGTATTTTTTTACAAAATAAAAATAAAAATAATTTTAAATAAGATAGAAAAATTTAAATTTAAAATAAGATATGAATTTATTAAAATTTATAAGTATAAATATATTTAATATGAATATTTTTTAATAAAAATAAATAAAAATCGAGTCATGCGGTTCAACCAGTGACCCACCGGTTCAACCTTTGACCCACTGACCCAATATCTTAACCGGTTCGATGACCGGTCCGGTTTTTAAAACTATGAGAATAAAAATAGTAGAAGAAGGAGGACAGAGGTCAGGCAGTTTTTGCCACGCCCACGACCGTATCGATTGTTGGGTCGACCACCACGACCATACCGCCCACCAGATCTGCCACCGCCAGAAGAGGAGGGAAGCTGAGTGTCTTGATGGGTGAGATTGGCTTGCGGTGGCAAAGGGGAAGAATTCGAGCTCGAGGGGGTTTCAAGAAGGTTGACAGTGAGGAGGATCTTTTTCTTGAATTTTTCAAGGCGGGATTCATGGGCAAGAAGAAGGGTTTCAACTTCTTCTATGGTCAATTCATCAAAACGGCTGCTGATGAGGGAAACGTGGATTCATATTCTTCTGGAAGCCCCTCAAGAACAATATCAAGATGTTCTTTGGAAGAAACAGGGTTGCCAATAGCTGTGAGGGCATCAACAAGGGTTTGGATACGAAGGAGATAGTCAGAGATGGAACGGTTTTCAAGAGTTGTGCTACGAAGGTCACCACGCAATTGACGGGCTTTGGCATTGGTGTGGGCATGAAAATACGCATGAATCTTGTCCCAGATTTGGAAGGAAGATTTACATCCTATGACGCGTGTGAGCATTTCTTTGGACATGGATGATTGGAGCCAAGAGAGGAGTAATTGATCTTGCTGTTCCCACGCAAGATATGCCTCGGAGATACGATTGGCATCTCTGTCAGAAATTGAAAGGAATTTTGGAGGGATTTGGGGATTGACCAAGAAGTGGTGGAGACGGTGGCCTTTGATGACTGGTTCAACTTGTTGACACCAAAGAAGGTAGTTCTTGGTGTCTAACTTTTCAGAGATAGTGTGCGAGAAAGTGAGGGAAGGGGATGAGGAGGGTTTTTCTTGTGCAGCATGGAAGTGGGGCGGGGTTGTTGCAGAGGATTGTGGTTGTTCTTCAGCCATGAAGGGAGACGGGTAGTGTAGTCGGGCAGAAGGTGCAAAGAAGATAGGAATCTTTGTTCCGATCTTACTACCAAGGACCAGATCTACTTGAACTAGAAGAACATCCTGTGTTTGTGTATTACTGATATCATTTTTCTTGAGCTGTGCAACAACTTGTTGTGTGAGGAGTTCCAAATCCTTGGGAGTTAATTTAGCTATGGATAATCCATGTGACTGGCGTCGTCCATAGTACTGACTAATAGGAGTACCAACACCAGCTGTACGAACACGACCAGGATGCTCTAGTCGTCCAAGGGCAGTATTTAATATATCTTGACGCCCGTCGATAACAAAGGAACCCTGTGATGCTTGCTCATCCAACTCATTCTACAATAAACAAATTTAGTTTACAGTATATCGTAGAATAAAAAATTTGAGCAAATAGGTAAATAGTTTTATTTTATAAGAAAAGACTTACAATTTTTTTAGCAATTTGGTTAGCTGACTCAGAACTCAGTTAGCCTGAAATTTTTGTGGGAGAGTGTTGCTCCACTGTAAGTCCTCTACTACTGAAAATATTTAACTATATATAATATTTTCCATAAACAGATTCATTTGCATTGGTAATCCTCATTTTAGAGTTATGAAATTTGATTAGAAGTGTGGAAAGAGTTTATTATGAACTAAAGAAATATTTTATTGAATGAGCAGAAAATAGGAGAAAGAAAAGAGCAAATGATTTGCTTTTTAAACCGTAAATGTCAAATATCACTTGTTTATGGATCAAATGTCTTTTTTTTTTCTTTATTCTTGTTTGCCGTTTACTTTCTGTGTGCATTTAGTTGCGAGGAGGGAGAGTAGGGGTGGTTTGGAAAGGGAGTTTTTCAATTTTCAGTGGTGGGCAAAAGGGTGCCAGGAATATTGTTTCATGAAACGACAATGAAAAATAAATTTCCATAAAAATGATACATATTAATCAAAATAAATTAAAATGAAAACTTGAATTTATAATGTGTGTTTCATCTAATGCAACAAAATAGAGAAACTATAGTTTTTAAATTACTTTTTTCCTCTTTTGAATAGTTCTGTTCCTTTAACTTCACCAAAGAATGTTTATAATAAAATGTTAAAATTTTAACTGACAGTGGCATTTCAGTCCCTATTAGATATTTTAGAGTAAAAAAAGCATCTAAATAGACACTGGACATGAAAAGAGAGGTAAGTAGAGAAGCACCTATTGAACAACGAAACAGAGTTAACCATGGAAGTGTCATGGTGGCAGGTATTATTTTGAAAAACATTTGTAAGTATAAGGATTGATTTTAAAAGAGAAAATAGTGTAGGGTCTTAATCGAAAATTAATTGAAATTATGGGACCAAAATTTTAGTTTGACTAAAATAAATCTTTTCCTTTTTCTTCTTGATTTGTATTCTGTACCAGTTAAATTAAATAAAATTCAGTCCTTATTCTCATGCCAGTTGGTGTCTATCAGTCTCAATGCTGCAGAGGAGGTTCAGAAGATAGTCAATTTACTTGACAAGGTGGACAATCTTTTGAATATAATGAAATGAAAATTTCCTTTGGCTATGTAGTAGTAGTTTAAGCTAGTAATTTGCTGGTGTTCTCTTTCTTTTATGTTTTCTGTTTTCAAGATTGACATAATTCTAATATTTTTTAACAATATACCAATATATATAGTATTTAATAGTGTAGGTAAAAATAGTTTAGTGGTAAGTATTGTGTCATTATTAGAGTTGTCAAAGTGGATAATCCAGCTTAGCCCACCATGGGTTAGATAATAAGTGTCGACTTAACCAAATTCACCTAAAGGTGAGGTTAAAAAAACAAGAACCGGCCCAACACATCATAGGTTAGTGGATTAAACGAGTTGATTCACTTAAATTTAAAAAAATTATAAAAATTATTGAACTTTATAGAAAAATACATACCATATTATATTTTAGAATTATAACTATATTCATACATAGGACAATTAAAATATGAAAAATAGACATCATTCAAAACCAACTTAATCAACTTATAAAATCAAAATTGTTGCATAAAACATTGACAAATAATATCAAATTGTCATTAGTTATTATAATTCATAACTAGTATGTACAAAACTTAGTCTATAGTATAAATGTATAATTAGTTAAATTAACATTTGAGAACCTAGCTAAAAAATAAATTAAAAAAATAAAAAAAGTATATTAAGTAAGTCAACTTAGCTCACCACAAGTTGGCTCATGGTGAATTAGATTGTAAGTGAGTCGGATCAAAATTTTCTTGTAACTGAAACAGACCAAAATTTTATGGCCCAACACGGCTCAAACCCATGATAGGTTAGGTTGACTCACAGGTTTTAACCCACTTTAACAACTCCAATCACTATAGATATGTATCATTATATGAATTTTTTTGTAGTGTTGTATGGGTAGTATTAGTAACAAGTTGAATTTGATGTTGTTGTTCATGTCACTTGAGTTGATATTGATGTTCCAGTTGTACATTATTTTTATTTCACAAACTTATCCTTCATGTTTTTTCATGTAGTTTGAAACTGTGATGATCATATTTGTTCTGAGAGCAAAATAGAGATAGGTTTTACTAAGGTATACTAGTTGAGATCATCATACAGATGATGACTTTTGTTATATTTTAGTGCTACTTTTGTATCATTATCAGTTGACTAACACTTAGGATTTACATTTGAGTTTACTAGATTATTATACATATATTGTTTATATCCATGTAGTTGCTTCACACTTATATGCATGATATAATATATCTAGGTATTTGTGAATGTATAATTTTAAGTAGTTCAATTCCACTAAATACAAGAATCGTGATAGATTTTTACACTTTATGTCTAATTCACTTATTAAAACTTAAGAGACTAAAATTATATAATTATATATTTAAAGGAGTATTTAATCAAATTAATTAAAAATTATGCGAAAGGCAGGTATACAATTTTTTGATATATTGATTTTTTTTTGGGTATATGAAGTAAGTGTGCAATTGATAAAAAGAAAGAAAGTAATATATGTTATCATAAAGTCTAAAAATGACATATAAATTTTTTTAAAAAAAGTTTCAAAATATCGATATATAAAAAGGTATAATAGGAGTATTTTTTTTTATAGATTTTATAAAACAATAATTATTTGAAGGCTGTAACTTTAAAATTTGTAATCGTATGAAAATGTTTTAAAAAAATGTAAAAGTTATGAAAAAAATGTTTTTTTATGGCAATTAAACTAAATGAATCTTGAAGCTATTATGAAATGAGATGGTGAAAAAGATCTGAAATCCAATAATGATGGTATGCATCAAAGTCAGAAAATGAGAAATTTGAATACAGACAATTCAACTTGTATCAAAAAGGTCAAAGAAAAATTAATTAGGACATCTTGAAGGGAACAGAAAAAGGACAAGGTAGTGGTCAATAATGACTATTGTTTATCTTGAACAGTGGAAAATCGCAGTCTTATACACATCAAAGGGACAAAAATCTTGCCAAGGCTACTGGATATGTTTCCAACGACAGAAGGTTTGGTGATAGAAATTCGGACCCCTCTGCAATGACAATAAATCAGGTAAAGTGGATCTAAAATGATAATTTTTAATTCCTGTTAAGATACTGAATCCAATTAACTATCTACCTTTTGTCTTCATTTACCTAATATTTGGTAGGGAGCCATCAATCAGCTATCGGACCAAATTTCTGCCCTGAATGATAGAATGGATGAGTTTACCAATCGCATTGAAGAACTGAACTCCAAGTTAACCATCAAGAGAAGTTCTCCAAGCCAACAAAATATGTCACTTCAAGCCGAGACATGCAATGGATCTGCTCCTACCTCTTACTTCATCAATAGTTTAGGCAATGGTTCCCTAACTGGATCTAAAATGATAAATTCCTTGTCGTCGTCCCAGTTAGCTAAAGATTCTCCACTTGTGGATGAGGTATTATGAGTCTTATATGTCACTTTCAGAATTCAGATTATTTTATTCTCCATTTTTTCAATCCTTTAAGTTGACTCTTTGAGAGATGCATCTTTTGGGATGTAATTTTATGTGGTTTCTAATATAACTGTTAAATTTAGAGCGAGAGCAAGAGAGAAATAGAGACATGGATAGAATTGCTCGAGTGAAATTGGTTTCTTATGCACATCGTCTTTGCAGAACATCCATCTATTCGTACTATTATTCCCTAGGTTAAGAATGAGTAGTGCTATACTTCCTATATACTAATTCCTTTGAGCACTAGATGCATTTAATATGTGATACATGTAGATAGTCTAACATTACCCACCAAATAAAATTTTTACTGAGTTTTAAGTTTGTTACAAATAAACCCTTTTAGAAAATAGGCAAATGTAATCTGGGATCCACTAAATATTATTGAAAATGCAACATAGAGTTGCTGGAGATGTTGGAGAGAGGAGCATTGCTGGAAAAGTAACACAGCAGCATGGCTGAAATGGTTATCAACCTGAAGATCCGGTTGAAAGTTGTGTGACCAGGGAAGAAGATATTTAGCTGCAATGATTGTCGGCAAACTTTTACTGGTGTGCAATTTATACACAGCAAGAACAAAAAGACTTCTTCAAATTCACCAAGAACAGAAAACACTTAAAAAGGAGAGAGAATACATTAGATCTGAACTAAAAACACACAGAAAAAAGGAGAGAGAATACATTAGATCTGAGTATAAATGGAAAAATGCAGCACAAGGAACCAACCAGAATCTGAGAATTCAGTAACAAATGTAAGAATAAGATCAAATAAAGTAAGCACGTCCAAACAACAGGAGTTTGACACAGCTGATAATATTTGGTGGAAGAGATCACATAATTGACGTAATGTGGGGACTATCTCACTGGGAGGTTGTTGGAAAGGATTGTCAAAAGTTTGCAGGGAAAGCCTCTGGCAGTTTAAGGTCAGCAGCAGTTCATCAAAAATTTGTTAGCAAAATTCATTGGTGGTTGAGGTTCATTGTAGATGCCACTGATAAGTTCACTGGTAAGTGGTAACGACAAATTTGCTGGAGAAAAGTGATGGTGGAGGAGGGGACTGGCAAGGAGGGTGGAAGCAAAGGCTATATGTCTATTTTCAGGGGAGCATGTGACTAGAGAAATTTTTTTTATTGAAATCACAGAAGAAATATTGGAAACCAAAACGATTTCATATTTTAGGAACGTGGCAGTGGAACTGTGATGTGACTGGTCTTGGAAAATGGTACCTAGTTGATTTTAAATTTAGAGGAATAGAAAGAGAGAAATTGAGAGGGAATGAGACATAGGATGAAAATCCTTGAGTGAAATTGGTTTCCTATGCAATACATCTTTTATGCAGAACACCTAATGCCATATGCATAGACTAAGGGCATGTTTAAATAAACTTTTTCATAAACACTTTCAAGAAAAAAATAGAAAGAAAAAATAAAATAAACTTCTATACTATAAAATTAAATCATACATAAGTTAAAACTTAAAAATAAGTTTTTTGAGAAGAAAATATGAGAAAACTTCTACAATAATTTTTTTCTCCTAGAAGTATTTATGGAAAAGTTTATTCAAAGACTCTAAATGAGTATTATTTTCTGAGCTAAACTAGCAAAGAAGTTTTGTTTTGACTTCTTTTCTTATTTCTATCCTTTCAAACAATACATCCTTTTTGCTTTATTTCTCTTGTATTTTTATCCTTCCTGTTTCTTTTCTTTCTTATTTCTTCTCTATTTACTCTCAATCCAATGACAACATAAATGCATTTACCGTATATTTTATCAACTGGTTCAGTTTCTTTCATGCAGTTAAATTCATAATTTGGTTGTCCTGTGCATATCCTAATTTTAGGAACTTATTGGAGAGTAACAAAAAGGAAATGAGATTACTTTATATGGATCCCTTGAAAGTATCAAGGTTGTGGATTATGAAAGTTATGATTTGCAAATAGATATTTCTGTGCATGTTTCTTGCAATTGTGTAAATTCTGGTATGTTAATTGATGTTCTTGTTATGGATATTTGTTGTTAGTTATCTACAGCTCAATCTCATTAGCTCTAGAGCATTGATTTGATTTGAGTTACCATAGTGATACTATCAGAATTTTCTCTTTTTCTGTGTAGAGTTTTCCTGTGCACGTCTATATTAGTGAATGGAGAAACAATGTAGCAACCATTATGAGTCTGTTTAAATACAAGTTATAAGTGTTTCTGAAAAAAAAAAACTCTTTTATGCTTGTATCCAACAAGACTCTAAATGTTTTTGACACCATGCTAAATACATCAGCTTTTAGAAACTATCCAAAAAGGAAAATGTTCTGGTCTCCTAGAGTCAGTGCAGTGCTGTAAATGCATATAAACAATCTGGACTGAATGCTGTATTATGAGCTCTTATTGGTGTACTTGACTACTCTGTGTCATCAGATATCAGGCATTTCTCGCAGTCAGCGTCAGATCATGCATCAATTGGACAATCTCAATAATCTTATCAGGGGGAGCTTGGGGGAGAAGTCTCACCAAACAAGAACCAGCAGGAAAAGTCCTGATCCAGAATCAGATTCCACGGGAGCACGCATTATGGCGGCGGTGGCAGTTGGTTGTTTGGGGATCTTCTTGATGAAGGGTTTGTTGAACAGAAAGTAATTCCCCAAGGTAAAGTCAATGGTTTAGGTTCAAGATATTTTTCTTCACTGTGGCAACCCTTTTGGTAAGAAAGGTGTTGAGGCATTGATAGTTGAGGCAGTCTTTTAGGATCATTTGAGGGTCGGTGAGAGGATGATGCCCACTTGAAATTTTTAACTTGGTGGGCTTTCTTTGTTATCACAATTTTATGCCATTTTCAACCTTAAATCCACTAGGAAGAATCTTTGTTTTAGAATCTTTATCAGGTGGTATACCACATACCTTTCTGTCCTCATTATTAATCTTTAAATAAGTTGGTAATAGTGAGGTCAATTTAACATCATCTATAACATAATTGAGAGGAAGATAATGCGGGAAATACAAGGTAATGTACCTCGGTTGTTACATGCAAATTGTTATAAATGAAACAAATCATGCTGTTACCAAGTGAATGGTGCCTGTTATCCTATTACTTTTCTTTTCTTCATTTTCCTGTGCAAATGCCTTCCACTAGCATTATATTATATATAATATGATGTTCATTATTTTACTCTTGCATATGTTTTACTCTGCTCTACTCAACGCAGTTTTTCATTATGAAAACAGGAAAATACAGGTTTGGTTGTATTATTAAATCATCTTCTCATGGATTCATTAACTAATTTTACTTCTAACTAGTAATGGTGCTTCAATTTTAATCTCAAACATTTATTTCAGGAAATTATTATTTTTTTTGTTTTATTCAAAGGAAAATTAACGTTAGAGTATTTCTAGATACTATAGCCTGTGTATAACAAATCAAACATTCATGGTATATTTTCTGGTATTCTAATGTGTTCCTTGATAAATGACTCGAATATTGAGATTGTATGTACAACATCTCCAAACCAACAACTCTACTAAAGTTTTCTTTTACAACTCTACTAAAGTTTCTTTTTTACCTTTTTAATATTTTACATTTCTCTACATTGACACATCACATTTCAGGCTTTAAACAAGTCAATTAACTCACTAATTTTTCAAATGGATCTCACGATATATCTATTTTTTTTTTTTTATATTTTATTATTCATGTTAATTTAAGTTAATATATTTAAATGACAATTGCTAATAATAAATAAACATACAATGCATTTTAATTAAATAAAATTTAACTTTGCAAAATTAAAATGCATAAAATATAATTTATATAAAATTATTAATAACTTCTAAAATATCTCCACACTATTTTAAGATGGTATTGAAGTATGACCTAAATCATCTCTAACCTTGAGTTGTCAACCATGGGATAGAAAAAATCAGAAGGTTTAACCACAAGTTTGGTCGAAGAGACTTCTCTTCTTATCTTTGGCCCCAAATTGAATGCTCATAACTACACTCAATGGGTGTGATCGACTAAACAAAATAAACTAGTCCAACAATTTCAATTAGGGGTGTAAGCAGGTCGGGTTGAGTCGAGTTTGGATAAACTTGTTACTTGATCTAATCAAAATTAACGGGTTGAATTGAATTGAATTTGTACAATTTTTTTTTTTTAAATTCAATCTAACCTAATCCAATCATAAACGGGTAGGATTAGGTTAATCAGATCAACATAATTATATTTATTTATTTTTTGTAAAAATTTAAATATTTTAAAATAGATATATTGTTGCAAATTGAATGTTATTAATTTATAAAGTAAACAATAATACAAATTAAATTCTAAAATAAATTTATTAATTTGTTGCATTATTATCAACTCAAAATTAATATTAATTAATACAAAATAAAATTTAAAATAAATATATTATATTTGTTATAATGTTATCAATCTAAAACACAAAATTTGTTACTAAGTAAGAGTGACAATGAGCATTGTTCTGAGCAAATGATCATTTAAATATTATTATTATTATATATGATCGAGTTGGGTTGGGTCGATAATAAATTGAAAACACAAAATCAGTTACCTAACACGTGCAATATCGAGTTTTGATCAGGTTGGATTGGGTTTAACTCGAATACTGAAAAAATTCAATCTAAACTCATTGGATTGGTTTTGAGTCAGTCTAGGTTTGCAGGTTACTCGTACCCGCTTACACCCCTAATTTCAATAAAGAGGAACTAGTCTTGTCCATTTCAAAAGAAAAATGAGCTTCAGTGTAATTATCGTAAGAAATTGGGTCATACTAAGGACACTTGTTGGATCATTCATGATAGGCTTTTAAAGGTGAAACAAACCAACAACTAGGACAACAGAGTTAACACAACTTTAGTGGCACAAAAAAGTAATTTCTTGCATGCTTGCAAGAGAAAATCAAGGCATGGATCGTTGACTTGGGAGCTTCAGATCACATAAGTGGAGACTTGACTATGTTTAAAAGTTACTTTTCATACCTAAATAATTACACAGATTGGATAGTTGATGGTACTTTATCTAAGGTCATGGGTATAGGTTCAATTATTATCTAACAAAATATTACCTTGAACGCAGTCCTTTATGTGCCTAAACTTAATGATAATTTGATGTCCATTAGCAAACTACAAGAGATTTGAAGTGTCACTAAATTTTCCCCTAACCCATGTGAATTTCATACTTTGGAGTCAAGGAAGGCAATTAATAATGCTAAAGAGTGTGTTGGACTCTACCTCCTCCAAGTTGAAGAGTCAGAAACAGAACATATGGCTAACTCTTCTAGAGTAGTTCCTCCAACTAGTGAAAATCTTATAATGCTATGGCATTATCACTTGGCCATCCAAATTTTTTGTACATGGAAAAATTGTTTCCATCATATGTTCAACAAAAATAAAAAATATTTCAATATGAAATTTGTCAATTGTCCAAACATACCTGCAACTTTTTATCCACCTTAGCCTTATGAATCTACCCAACCTTTCTTCTAATTCATAGTGGTGTATGGGGACCTAATCAACAATGTCACTAGGTCAAGATGGTTTGTCATTTTCATTGACGACCACACACATGTCATTTGGTTTTTTTTAATGAAGGAGTAATTAAAAGTTGGAAAAGTATAAGGGGGTTAATAGTGTATATAAAAAGTTTATACATTTTTTGCAATGAATATGGATAGTCAGATCAAGCAACAAGAGCAGTCAGATAAAATACTGAGTATTTTTATCCTAATTCTGTGACACCCATTCTACCCCCAACATAAGTTCGTAAAATCAACTATCGAAGAAATATAAAATTCAATTACAATTAAAATGAATAATCTAAAATCCCTTGTTCCGATGTCACATTATCAAAGCAATCCCGTGAGTTAACTATTGGAACCTTGAATGCCACTCATGTTCGAATCTTCCTCACCTAAAAACAACCACAAAATGTATGGTGAGAAAATGAAACATCTATATGAAAAACACAGTAGGAAATTTTCACAAAACAATCTCAATTTACAATAATATAATAACACAATATCCATCATTCAAACATGCTCAACATCATTAACTCTAAATTAATCCATTTCACCATCTCATCACAAATCATATATATACCATGTCACACATCCAACACCGTATCACGCACACGCCCTTACTAACGCATCACACATCCAACATCATGTCACGCACACGACTGTGCCAATGCATTCCACTATTAGCACCACACACGACTGTACTGACGTATCACATATCTAGTATTGTGTCATGCATATGACTGTGCCCAAACATCACATAACCATCACTGTATCATGCATGCACCGTATCATGCATACACCCGTGTCGATGCATCTCACGTCCTACACCGTGTCATGCATACGACTATGATAAAACATTACACAACAACACCATATCACGCACATGCCTATGCTGATGCATCAAATTTCTGCGAGAAACTAATTTCAGCGCCTGACGCAAGAAACTAATTTCGGCGCTAACGCGATTTTCTGCAACCCAGAAATGCGAACAAAATTTGAAGTTAGACATGAAACACATAGAAGGGGGTTGAATATGTGTGTGTTAGTACGAAAGAATTTTATAATCATTTTCGCAAGAGTAATGTTCTTCGTCCAATGCACTTTTGAATACCAGACAGTTATGTAGAGCTTGCTTAACACAAGGGTACTGCGTCTGAAAGATTTATCGTCTGCTAAGGAAAATGTTTCATATAACAATAATGATTAAGGTTTTTGCATTTTCCTTTTCAAGATAGTTTCATATAGGGATGAGTAGTAGATAAGACTTTTCAGTGTAACATATTTGTTAAACAAACTTTGCGTCTTCGTCTGAAAAATGATTTTAATAAAGAATAGACATTAGACGAAGTTTTCAGCATTATTTATCAATTAGGAAGAGTTTGCGTATGAAATATGAGTAAAAAAATGCAAACAGTTTTATACTGGTTCGCTCAATTGAGCTACGTCCAGTCTCCTTCATCTGAAGGGTTCTACTAAATATGCAATTAAGTACAAGTATTATTGACCACTTCTGACCCGTTGACTTCACTCATCAACACTAGTATCTTCTTATCAGCCTCTTCAGGCTAGCATTGCGTATTATGGATCACCCAGGTCAGAACCACTCCTGGTCCAAGTATTTTCGACCTCTCCAAGCCTTGAGTATTCTAGACCTTCCCAGTCACGGCCACTCCTGGTCACGAGTATTCTCAACCACTCCTGGTTAGCTAGCTTCACTCACCAACTCTAGTATTCTTAAACCACTTCTGGTTTCCCAAGTATTCTCGACCACTCCTGGCCTGCCAGCTTCACTCACCAGCGCTAGTATTCTCTTATCATCCAATTCTGGCTAGCAGTGAGTATTCTCGACCACTCCTGGCCCGCCAGCTTCACTCACCGGCGCTAGTATTCTCTTATCAACCACTTCTGGCTAGCAGTGAGTATTCTTTGACAAGCCCCCCTAGACTTTACAAGTATTCTTTCCCTTACACATGATAGATTTGTGCTTTGTTTTGAGTGCATACATAACTCTCATAGAGAGGATTGGAAATTTTCTACACTCTCTAAAGTTTGCTACCTTAGTCTTACAACGATTGAGTGTTTGGTTTACTCTCACGGAGAGGATACATAAGTTGGCACACTCACTACGGTTTGATCCTAAGATGTACATATTTGAAACTTCGTAGTTTACTGAGATGAATACATTAATGTACATTTGACTCTATACGCACTGTCTCTGGTTTCATTGCATCATGGGCTGGATATCACTCTTCTTCACGCTTGCACCATTTCGGGCCAAACAGCCAACCTTTTAAGGTTTGATGTTGAGACCTATATATAGTCTTGTGAAATCTACCAATTGCAAGTTTCTGTTGAAGCAGATATAGTCGTCCACGACCAGTTTGATCTTCTCATTTAATGCTCAGATTCTTGCATTAAATGTTGCTTCTTGTGATAGACCTTGCGTGAAGTATTCTTTGTCTTGGTAGCAACAGTGTCTAAGTTTAGCAGAGACTTAGGAACCTTTTTGTCCTTTTCTGGTCTCATAGC